TCTTCTTGTTCGCAGTCGTCTAATCAAATCATTTGATGACAACGACGACAACAATCCATAGACTCTGACTCTGCAGTTTTGTGACATGAGTGCGGTTCGCCTATGTTGGAATGCGTAGACCTTTCGGTTTCGTGACTTTAGTGCGGTTTGCCTATGTTGGAACGCAGTCAGTGTCGTAACATGAGTGCAGGAAATGTGCAGAGAGACATGTCAGGGATGTGCTAGTGCTGCGGTTTTGTGATCTTTGCATACCACCATACGTTTTGTTCAAATCAATGCCGTAGCCTGCACCATGTTGGGCAGCATTTCCAAGAAGTGGATGCGTGCTGTGGTAGACCTAGTACAGGAGCGTTTGCGAGTGAGTATCGTGTCAGACGTTTTGATGCAAAAATCGGTGAGAAAAACAGCGCGCAACGACCATCAACACTGCACGGAGCCCTTCGGGGCTTGTGTGTGTCCAACTCTGTTTCCAAGAGACGCGAGTGAGTTAGGCAGCAGGGGGCGTGGCAGTCACATCCTAGCCACGCCAACGAAGCTATGGATGTTGACTGGATGGGTTCACAGACGTGTGAACCTGTACCTGCACAAAGCTGCTCATGGGTCACGCATGTGGCAGCTTGAGAGCTTATCTGTGAATGCGACAGTCATGAGTGAGGGTCTGCACATGTCAGTCTTTTACGAGTGATTTGCGTTCGTCCTATGGCAGTACCTTAGATCACAGGTTCTGACTTCTCGTGACTTCTCCTGACAGCTTTCGGCAATATGCACTGAATTATCAGACCTGCGACACGATGTGTCAAGTGTGTGTGTGTGTGTGTGGGGGTGTGTGTGGGGGTGTGTGTGGGGGTGTGTGTGGGGGTGTGTGGGGGTGTGTGGGGGTGTGTGGGGGTGTGTGGGGGTGTGTGGGGGTGTGTGGGGGTGTGTGGGTGTGTGTGGGTGTGTGTGGGTGTGTGTGTGTGTGTGGGGTGTGTGGGGGTGTGGGGGTGCGCGCGCGCGTGCGTGCATGCGCTTTTTTTTGGGCTGCCACCCCTCACGCCCAGGAGTTATGACGAAACCTGCGCTTGACCCATCCCACAACCACGTCGCTCAAGACAATGCTTCGGTAAATGGCTTTAAGACTGCCAACATGTACCCTTTGGACAGATGCGGCTGGACTCAACTGGGGCATGGCATGCCATGCATGTGTTGTGCGGCGAGCAGACCGGCCTTGCATTGCAGCGCAACTCTTCCAGGGCGCTGGATGTGCATCTGCACCTGTGTATACGCTTGGAAACCATGGACCCTCAGCTGAAAAGAGTAAAGATAGACTCGACGTGAATGTAGCCCGTTTGTCGATGACTCAGGCAAACACAAGACCCTGAGCATCTGCCAACTGCTGCGCGAGCTGAGATGGAGAGCCGTCTTTGTCATTCACCTGATCTCTCAACAGCACTCGGCGAAACTCGACGAGCTTCAGCTCCCCATGCCCAGAGCCTGCACAATGCGGTCGCCAGCCCTTATCTCCTGATGCACGAACCCATGCGACAAAGACTCAAGACATTCCGTTCAAGCAAGCACCTTTCCATCAGGGTTCGATGCGTTCCTCGGTTCGAGCCGCGTGCACGTGGGTGCATCCATGAAAAAGCATTCCGTCAACAGCTAACTCTACACGTAGGAGTGCAACATTCCCACCAAGGTGCCAAGAAGGAATCGCCCCCTGCGTAATGGCCTGTGCAAGCGAAATCCAACAAGAACCAAGTCGGTCTGGACGGTTTCTGGAACTGAGAAAGCAAAGAGTCCGATTTGCTTATTTGCGTGCCGAAGTACGAGGTCCCCTCCTGTATTTGGACATGCAGTGTTTTGCGCTAGCGAGGTATAGCAGTGTGTGCAGAGTTTTCTTGCCACCAGCTGGACCATGCCATCCCGAGAATGAGGAAAGAGTAATCTGCAGTTTGGGAAACTGGGAGCGCAACAACGACGATGCATTTGTCGCTGACATACTCCACGCGGATGCCCAGGGGCTTGCCGTCCTTATTGACCTGGCCATAACACCCTCAGAATGCGACAGGGGAGACGCGACAAATCGTGACAATGGGAACGTGGTGCTTGGGTCAAGTCATGGTGTCAAGGAGGCTGCCTCACACACGAAGTGGCTTGGTTTATCACCATCTTCTTGCACCTGAGACAGAACCCCCGCTGACGAACCTCTGTCTCTGCTCGCGAGAGAACAATCTGGAATCCAGGACACCTTCCGCGACTCTTCCACAGGCGCGTGGGCCTAACAGCAAAGTTGATGATGCTATAGCCAATTGCAAATGTGACAGGACTCAAAGAGACATTTAGTGGACAGAGAGCACATCACTGCAAGCGTGGGAGCCCATAGATTCTCAAGTCACAGCAATCACCAGAAGGGGAGTGGGGAGTTCCCAGCGCTGATTCCGGAGCTGCAGGATACCGGCGGATACCGCTCGGGCAAGCCAGAGCAAGCTCTGGTTCTTTGGTTTCCAGATCAACGCAAGGTGCCTTGCGACATCGACCCAAAACATGGCATTGTCTACGTGTCGCTTTGGCTTTGGCTTGTCCGGTCCTCCCTCAGTCTCTGGACCGACGCAGGGTCGCAAGGTCCAGACCAGAGCAGGGGGCAACTCCTTCTTGCGGGTTCAGCTTCGTGGAGCTTCTATGCAAGATGGGCACTTTTGAAACTTAACGAAACCTCCAGCCCGGCCAGGCCAGCAGAAGCCAGAAGCTTTCACTCTTTGAATCTTTGATTGCGGCACGAACCTTGTCGCCCAAGCTGTCAAGCAGAGCGTCGCAGAAGTCAATGATGCTTTTCTAGGCTTGAAGAAGACATTGGGAGGAGATGGAGGAGCCCCTGCTGTCCGTCAGTCTGCTGCAGCCGCGAAACATGCCGTGCCTTCGCTCAACACAGATGGCTGACGCAGGTGGAAGGAGCTTGACACGCTTCGTGGTTTGTTCCGGCGTCCTTCCAACGACCCTGTGCATCCTGGTGGATGGTATCGTGCTGGTCGTCGGGTAATCGCTTCTCCATCTCAAAAAGAGTGCTCGCGGCTCCAAGCGTGGTCCCTGCACGGGAGCATCCGCGAAATTCCGGAGCCCCTTCCAGGTGGTCTGCGTCGGTGCAGAAAAGCTGGCGTAGTCCAAAACTTGAGAAAGCTGCTGTCCAGCATGACCAAATCTGACTAAGCGAACTGAGCCCGGCCGATCCCAGTCTCGTAGGTCTGAAGCAACAGATCTGGGCGCCTCACCTGTCCTACATAGGATCGCAAGACTGCCTGGAACCTTCTAAAAAAGGGTCGTGTTCTTCTCAGAATGCATGCCAAAAACAGCTGGGCTTGGCTAGTTTCTGCACCATCGATGCAAGCCACCTGGCCGGAGTGTTTGCTTACAAGAAAACGCTGGCACCATGCAGCCACCAATTTTTGCGGATGGTCCGGAACTCCTAGCAGACGTCTCGTGAACTGTGCTGAAGCTTTGTAGTACATTGGGCCCTGCTGGATCCGCTTCTGCTACTGCAGGTCTAGTAAGGCTGCTGCTGGGAGGGATGGGGTCTGCTGGTTTCGCTACAGTGGGGTGGGGTCTGGTAATTCTGCTACTCCTCCACATCTCTGACGAGCTGTATTGATTCCGGAACTGGACGGGTTCCTGATCGCTACCCAGATCTGGTTGGTCGGCTCGTTGCAAAGCTGCAACATGAGGCTGGGGATCAGCTGGCTGTGACAGCCATGGCTGTGACAGCAACGTGTCGCTTCTCTGTGCATAACACCATAGCGGTAAGCCAATCAAAACACCGACACAAAAGCGTTAGTGCCTCTTTCAGGCTTTCGTGCCTCTTTCAGTTTCAACTTGCGGCGGCTTTATCGCACAAGCAAACGCAACAAGCAAGAACACCGCAATGGTTCAGCCACGACACGGCGGTGAGGTCGCTTTCCTGGACTTGCGGGACCTGGCTTGCGTGACAAGTTTATATTAAGATTCGAAGAGTGGGCATCCGCCTCCGCTGGTGCGTCTTGCAGCGCAGGATCATCCGGAGCCTCGCGAGATGCGACTTGCCACGCGTAAGTTTGGCTTCTCAACATCGGTTCAACACAGTTTGCCTTCCCAACCGGAGTGGTGCCCAGCTCCAATGCCTCGAAACACCAAAGAGGTCTCTGCTCGCGCATGTAATAAAGCGGAGGTCCCGGCTCGGGGTGAATCTCCCAGCGAGATGACCTGAGAAACGCTTCAGCACACCACGAGCACCAGAGCAGTCGATGCCGAGCGCGTAACTTGCACGGCTTTGGTTACAATCTGGCAAGACTGACCTTATCGAAAGTGGTCATGGGAGCTTTGAAGCTTTGAAGCCCTAACCTCGGGCTCCCCAGGGCTCCCCAGCTCAATGGGCTCATGCCAGGGCAACTCTTGTAAGGCCTCGGGCTCGGGGTGTGGCGTAAGTAGGTGCGACCTTTCCACTTCTCACTCGCATCTCGGAGCCCAGCTTCCGGCTATGGCCATCTACCCATACAGGCCGCTTGAGCCGGCGGCTGCAGAACGGAACACTGCCGCTTCGTCGGCCTTTTAGCTGGCGTATTGATGGACGTTGTCTCAATCTTAAACATGCTACGCTTTCGCAGATGGGTTGGGCAAACGACGTTGACGCCCCGCCCCCCCCCCCACGGCCTGCGCCCGAAAGTCGCGAGGAGCAACGACCCACAGCAAGGGTCTTGTTTGTCGCAGGCTTTCTCTCACAATGCAGCAGTCAGGAACGCTCAACTCACCGGCCCATTCTCGTGAACAGGTTGACACGACACGCTGCCGACCGGCGCGGGGTGTTGCCGCAAACCACCGTCCGGAACAAGAACTTAACTTCCCCTCGCCCTGCAGCCTATAACAAGCCACTCTACAAGGAGTTTCAAGTGAATCCAAAGAACCGATGCAAATCCCCAGCAAGGGGTGCGACAGCGGAAGCCGTCTAGGCGATGCGCGTTTGGCTTCTTGACCCGTTCACTTCGTTCGGCAACGGCCTCGTAGCCTGTGATGAGGAAGCTCCCGCTGTCCAGCCAGAAAAGATCTCGAACACCCATGAGCCCGACCTTGTCCCTGTCGAATGCAGGCATGAGCAACTGAAGATCCAACTTGCCCTGTGCACCTTGGGATAATCGTGATTCGCTCCACCTAACAATCGTCAGTACATCAGCACTGTCGGATCTGTAAAGCATCGCAGAAAAGCAACTCCTGTGAAAGCGACCTTCCGCTTCGCTGCACGCCGTGCGCCTTCCTGAGGGCTTTAGCTCACCGCGGACGATTCGCTACGAGTAGACTATGTCGACTATAGACGGATGCCAATGCCGTGCAATTCAAGTTCGTGCAAGTTGTAAGCGAAGACTTTTTAGACTGGGTGCGCCTGGCTTCCGAACGTTGGTGCTGCCTCCACACGAATCCTCGGCCCGAAGTCCCACGACGTACATTGGCAAATCTGCAACTTCTTCCAAAGATAGGTCGGCTGTGAAATTTCGGGTCCACACACGATGCCTGGCTCGCAGAATTCGAATCGAGCGGTACTCTCACCGTCAGGGCCTAGGCAAGTCACACGGACAAGCGTGTTTCCATCGTGCCACTGCTTGCAAGGTCGCCACTACTACGTAGGATCCCTGCTGAGGAGCAGTGGCTGCACGGTCGGTGTCAAAAACGGAGCCTGACAAGCTGAGTCTCGAGGATTCAAAAGAAACAGCCTTGACATCACATGACAAGTGGCCACTCTGTCACTCTGCCAAAACCGGACAATCAACACATCGCGCCAGCATGTAGGTAAGAGCCTCTGCAGTTGGAATAAAGTCCGTGCGGCTGCCTGCAACTGGCACAGATCAACATAACTTTTGATGTATGAATCCCCTTCATGTGATGTTGGCCCCATTTCCAAAGCTGTGTTCGGGCACATTCGCATCTGATCCTGAAGTCAAACCCCAACCTCGCTTAAGACTTTCCGCCCTGCAACGTCAAGTGTAAGCGCCCTCCATTGTTTTCTTAGTACCACCCGGATGACCAGCACGACCGCTCCGCCACGGAGAAACTCTTGGTCGTAGGCTGGCCACCGGACGAGGTCCCTGAGTGGTCATGAAGGCCAGGCATGATGTTGCACATTTTCCTTACATGCCACTTACAAGTGCGACTGAGACTGGAACTGGTCGAACGATTGCTTTCACCGACAATCCCACCCAGCACTGCGCAGTGCCAAGGAATGCCTTCCGGCTGCCGGATCCCAACAAGACTCTTGCTGCGACGGATTGAGAACTCCTCAGAGTCGGACCATGCAAGCTATCACTCCGAACGTCGTTGGCAAGACTCCTTTGGATCTCTGGATCCTCCGCGTTTGTGCTGAGACGTGGACCGATGCAAACAACAAGTGCTCAAGTGTTCAACAACCCTTGCGGGGACTTGCGGTGTGCACGCACCACCTGCGACATTGTCCCAAACCCATCCTTCCCGAGCGGACTCTCCGCATTTGTACACCTGGGAACCTGCTTCTGCATAGCAAGTTGGTGCGAGCTGCAAGAAAGCCTCTCTAAACAAGAATGCAACATCGCTCGCCTGTCAGCCATTGGCACTCGATGCCTGACGCTGCACTTTTTGTACTCGAGGGGGTACCTCTGCATCCCCGATAGTCACAGCCACCAAGAAAAATATCAACCAGGGCCCAAGTGAGCTTGACAAATGCGTCGGCAGAAAAGAGCAGGAATCTCCCGCACCCTTCGCATCCCTTCGCTCCCTCACCCCGACACTATGGGTCACGAGAAGGCACTGGTATTTATACCGAACCGTTGCGTTGAGGTGTTGCAAAGGGTTGCATTGCTGACTCCACGGAACTGTCACACTTTCTCGTCTCCCGCAGTTTCAACCAAGGTTAGCCGGTCAGTACACCGGTGTAAGACTGGGCCCCTGGCATCGAAGGAGGCGCGGCATCGCGATTGGTTGGCCGCAGCTACTGCAAGCCCACATGCATCGGTCAGATGTGCTGAAGGCACACGTAAGGGGCTGAAACTTCAAGGCATTGATTCCAGAGCGATCCGTCTGCGCCCTCACGAGGTCACGAAAAATATCGCGCGTCTTATGCGGGTTGCACGGGCATTTTCCCCCATGCGCCAGAGGATGTTGAATGTTGTGAAACCGCTGCGCCTGCCCGTCACGAAAGCACCTCAGCTTTGCTGGAGTCTATGCAAAGCGTGTTGACCCGCAACACAACGGAAGAGTCCGACACTGCAGGCATTAAATACAACTTTCCTACAGACTTGAACTCAGGACACGACCACCCATCGCCATGTGCCATCGAAAGTTCAGGCCAAGGCAGCCGTCATTCCGCCTGCTCGGGGAGAATACTCACCTATTGCCGCATGTGCGGGTGCACCATGAGGACCAGGAGAAAAGTACAAAAAATGTCTTTTGTCAGCAAGTCGCCCAGTTGCCCAGTTCATGTTACGGGAATCACATGTGATGTAGCAACTCCAATCAGTCATATCAATGCACTGCATACAACAACGCATTGCAGCAACGATCAACATGCTGGCCTTCTCGGGGCCTTCCACGCAGCGTAGCTTGGCCTGCAACAATCGGCGTTGACATACCATTCCGTGCTCTGGATCGTACCGTCGGGGGCTGTGCACCTCTGCTTCATTGGCAGATTTGTTAAGCTCGGCTGCAGGCGTTTTTCTTTTCTGACCTGGGTCTTCGCACTGGTGCTCTGCCACATAGCAGCTCCCATTCGTGGCCTTTCGGGACCCTCTGTTGCTGACTCCGCCTGAGTAGTCAAAGTACTTGGAAATCACGATCGTTTGTGCGCGAATCATCAGCTGCCTCTGAGACTTCTGCGGGTCCCTCTCTCCCAAAGGCCAGCGCGGCCGAATTTCCACGTGGCTGTCAGCACCTTGGCATGGGAAGGCTAAAGGGAACTCATTGCGAATGGTGTAGCTGCATCATGCTAGGTCGGCAGCTATCAACAGAAGGCGGCTCCTGTGCAGGAGAACAACTAGACTCACGGCGGACGTTAGGCAATCTCAGCACTCACTCCGAACAAGTCTCATGTAGCTTACACTGACTTCGTGGTTTGGTAGCCATAGCCAGGGTCTGTGTGGTCTCGAGGGTCGACTTTGAATTGACACCGTTACATACATTTACATTCATCAGATGCATGTATCGGAACATGGATGCAATATCGAGGTGTAATTTTAGCTCGCACCACCTACACCAGCCCCACTGAAGGATGTTGCACACTTTGCACTCTGCGGAGTTCTATGTAGCCACCGAAAACCACGGAGGTCGTCTTCGGATTTGCATGCTCGGATTTTTTCCCCCAGCTCTGAGGGGTGAGGGGAGTGGGGGACGATGTCTTCGGATGCCACGGCGCTCTCGTTGCATCTCATTGCTGGAGCTATGCTGCTTGTGACTTTGAGGCTTTTATCGACCACGGTGCCTAGGGCAAGGTCTCGACGTTCTGCCCAACCTCGCCGAATTTAGGAACAAGGTGTACTGAGAGGACTCGGCCCCGATTCCGAGTCCGTATCCGTGCTATGCGGTTGTTATCGAACGTGGGAAAGTCTTGTTTGCATTTAAATTTATCAGAGCTTTGCCTTCACCTTCCTCAGTGTGACCTTTGCCGGCATTGCCATAATTTTCAGGGTCGATGCACTGCCACATGCTTTGTTTCGCCCATCGGTGCCTCCAAGCTGGCGTTTCATGGAGCGCCATCAATTCGTAAAGAGTTTGATTGGCATGATACTCTTGCAAGGCCTTTCGGAGAGAACGGGGACATGTCGGAGCTGTGGGTCTAAGGGAAGAAACAAACATCTTACGCACATGCTCGTAGATGTAACTTTAACAACCTCCGTAACACATGGACAAGGTTGGAGAAGTCGACTCTGGAGCATTCCTCCCGTGCCGTCGACGATCAGCCATGATGAGCGGTTGCTGCCGCACCGTCAGCACAAGCGTGTGGGGCCGGCTAATTCCCACACCGACACTTCTCATGCGCATGAGACGTAGCTTTGTTACTTCGCGAAAGCTTAGGGCTTAGGCATCGCTGCGTCCTCGAAGAGACCGAGGAGTAAGCGCTCAATCCCTGCCCAAGCCTCCACACTTCTCTCTCCGAGTCTCCCTGCACGTCAGGTACTCCCCCAAGCCCGGCACCACCATGACACCGTTGTCGACACAGAGCCTTACAATGCACAGCGTGTGCACACGCAATGGTCACAACTCGAGGCCCAACCGCGGCGGCGGGCAAAACATCTGCAGGGAGTGCTCCCTTGCAACCTGAACCACTGATCGGGAGGTGCTTGCAGCGCAAACAGAATAAAGCGCAACAGCAACTCTGAGGCACCTCTTCCAGGCCTTTGCGCACGGCTTGGTTGGCGGCCACACCGCCAGCCACCACCTCGGGAGATTCGGTTTTGCTAAAACCATCTTGCTGCGCATCTACAGCATGGGAGCACCTGCTTACCGTGTTTACGCCAAGCATGTCACGTCTGTTCCCCACATGTCTGGGACCTTTGCGAGACATTTGGTATCAGGTTCCAGCTCCAGAGCCCAGCCTGCAGACCGGCACACACCCGCAGAAGTCCGACAATTTGACAGTGGCTGACGACTCTGAAGCCTGCAGCTCGTGAGGCTCGTTCGCACAAATGGTGCACCGCCATTTGCTGGAACCTCGGCATCTTCCAGCACCAAACAAAGTGCAGCAGATTGCACAAGCCAAGGCCCAAGACGCGGCGGCTACATCGGCTTTGGCTTTGTGCAGCTCCTCCTGTTAAGAATGCACAGGCAGCAAAGCTGAATAGCACCGCTTCAGATTGCAGATCCTCGGACAGTGTGTCCGCCTTTGCGCTTGGTAATTCCCGTTCCACCAGCGTCCTTTCCCCGCAAGAGACTGTCTTTCCGAGGCTCCCTGCCAGGCCCCCGGGCCCCCGGGCCTTACTGCCGTTTTCAAGCCGGAGAAGGAATAGTTGCAGCCTTCCTGCAAAACCTGAGCTCATGCCAGAATGGAACTATAACTCTTAGAATGCTAGACCCGCCTTGTCTCTGGTTTTTGCAAGCGGCTTTGGGAGTGCATGTGCCTACAAATTTGACACAAAACATCCTGAATTTCATTCTCACTCTCCGTGCAGCCAGCCTTCGGATCCCCGTCTTTGGCTAAGCGCTCTAAATGCGGTCCACCAGGAACCTGAGCAGTACCACAACGCTGTTCACATCCCCTGATAATCCCCAACCGTCGACGAGGAGTTCATCGCCATGAGCTGGGTTTGTCGCCTTTGTGATCCCCAATAGCCTGGCCTTGCACCAGCTGGAGCACTGCATGCACCCGCGAAATCAGTTGGCAGTGTCGTGACATTCAGTGCCAGGCCGTTTTGTCGAAGGCTTCACCAATGGAGTCATCGATGGTGCTACCCAAAATAGTATGCCGGCCCACCTGGAGGTATTTGAGGCAGAGCTTTCGCATATGCTTGAAAGCACAACTGCAGTTGATTGGGAACAACTTGGCTTCGGGACACCTCTGGTCAACACGGCCATGTTGTGACCACCAGAAACAAGAAGCCTCGTTTTCGTGAACACATTCGGAGGCAAAGGTGAACTGTTGCGACGAATGCATGCATCCACCAGGCTGTAAAGCGTACGTAATGAATGGAAACTCGGGCTGAACCAGATCTGCCTGTGGACCTGCAAAGCACATGCAGATGAACCCTTTTATGTCTGCCCTCCGCCCCCTCTGTTTGGCCTTGGGATTGTGCCAGTGGAGGCAATCGTGTCACCTTCAGAAGGGACGATTGACACTGCCAGCCATGGCGTGCGGCGCATACTGCAAAAATCTGCAAAAGCTGCGAGGTCCCCACCATCATGTGAGCTTCCATGTGATGCACGCGCACCTTGCTGCCACATCCATCCTTTGGACCCCGAGACCCGTAAAAGGCCCAGGCCAACGGCAACCGGTGTGCGGCAGCGATATGCAATGCCTGGTGGCAGGGCGGAAGCAACGCCGTCGCATCGCACAGCTGCGCTTCGGGTCGCCTTGCGAACGCCAACCTCTAGACAAAGGCCAAGGCCAGGCCCCACCTCAGAGACAAAGTCGACAGTCGCAGGCTGCAGAGAGCTTCAGCGCTTCCGCAGCGCTTCCGCTCGGCTCTCCACGGTCACAGCGACGGCCGAGATGTCGCTTGCTGCAACTCCTTGGCGCATCGCTATCATGCGATCCCCTCATGGTCGGCTCTTCAAAACGTCGGCCTGCTCGTTGCAAAGCTTCTTCGACCGTCCCGTCTATGGCCTGGCACCACAAAACAACCGCATCTCGCAAGCTGGCAAAACTGCTTGATTCCGATGACCTGAGTGACGATACACCCCTTTGCATTAGCTCTGCTGCTTTTACTGCAATGGCTTCCTGTCAACATCAACAGCCAGCCTGTTCGACATTCTATGCACCTTTTGCGACATACTGTATGACATGCATTGGAGCGTGCAGAAACATGCCCACTGAGATCTCACAAAGTTCGACCGGGAACATCACATCCACGTGATGCATTTGCCAGCTGCTGGCTGTCTTCGCTGAGGCGCTGAAGATGCTCTTTCACATCACAGCCGGCCTGCTTGTGGCCTTCTTGTGCAAGCCTGGGTACAACGCCGCCCCACTGCTCGTGGATACCAGCCTGGAACCGACAAAGTTGCGCCCGTCCTTTTGTCCACTACTGAGCCCCCTCTTGCTAATGACATCTTGTGAAAAAACTGATGCTCAATGGCCATTGAACATGCATTGACAAATGAGTGTATGATGCTTTGACAAGCTTCGTCGATCTCCCTCATGGAGCCGAGGGAGGCAGGCTTGCGACTGCTGATTGCATGAGTATGAGTACTGACAATGGTGCCGTGACCAGGCCTGTGATGCCAAAGCTTCCCCGAGGATCTGGCCGTCACCCCTGTCCAAGGTCCACGAAACTGCAGGAAACACTCAAGGGGTGGAAAATGAACTGGCCTGAGAACAGCAGCGCCAGTATCGTCGCAACTGGACTCAATGCCCAGCACCAACCTCAATAACAACCGTCGACCAAGAATCATGCAACATTAAAGCGCTCCGCGCAAGACGGAACTGGGAGTTCGATGAATTCGAGCAGCTGGCCATTGCTTTCTGTCATCGGCCAATGTACGGCAGTTCCTGCAATGGACGAGTTGCCCCGTCTTTCGCAGGCATACATCGGCACGACCTGGAGCGTGAGCTTGAACTAGTAGCAGGTGCAACTGCAGAGAGTGGAGCCTCAATGCGGCAAGGATGGTTGGTCTGGCCGGGCCGACATCAAACGCAATCAAGCAGCAGAAAACAAGTGGAACCCGTAAAATAAGTGATGGCATTTATTGGCCGCCCCGCCCCCCCCCCCCAACCCCAAGGCTCACTCACGCACCGCCGCCCTCGCACTCCCTCACACACTCACACGCGCCCACGCTGGCGTTGTAGCAGAGAGCACGACGGGACCTACGCGGCCAACTGACAATCGAAGCAAAGGCAATGCGCCAACCTTGTTTGACCTGAGCCTACAGCGATTCGCTTGAAGATGCTAAAGAACTAATGTAGAACTCATCGCCATCCCTACAAATCTTGGAAAACTCAAGTAGGTTGCAGTTTGAGCGCTGGACACAAGACGGTGATTGAGGCTGCGACGGGCAAAGCAGCTCCTGTGAACCTGTCTTCGCAAGAGTCCAACTCAACGCTGGAAGGCGGGAAGCCTTCAAGACTGAGCAAGACTGCACCATGAGAAGCAGGCTCGGGGGTCTCGTTGTGGGTTGGAGGCTCGCTTGACCTGGCAGTGTCAGCATCCTACGTGACGAACAGTCAGTAGATTTGCATGTCGTGATGTCACGGCACATGATGTGATGCGGAAGTCACGGTTCGCATGGTCGGCAATTGTGGACATTCAACTCTATTTCGTTTCGGTCATGCGTCACATCTCAACATGCCAACACACCGTGACCGCAGCGGACCGCCCTCTGCTTGCCACCGCCTCAAGGCCTGGGTCTGTGGAGAGTGGCAATGGCAAGGGCCACGGCAGTACGATAGGCCTGAAAAGCTGAGGCTGGCGGCGTCGCGCCATCGTGGTCCAACCTGCGCCCGCGGCCGCACGGCGAAGGCCGCGCGTTGGGGCGCATTACTGAGCCGCTGGCGGCGCTGAGCAGAACCCTCCTTCCCTCCGCCTCCGACGCTCTTTTGTGATACTGACGCTGCGCTCGCTGCGGTCCAGGAGAGTTCTGCCTGGGGTCCAAAACCTTCGAATCCGACCTCCAGGCGCTGTGGGCAATCCTGACGTCATACCCTTTCCCCAGTCCCAATCGCAATCAGAAGCAACTCGGAAAGGGCATGGCCTTTGTCACGAGCTGATCCCCCAAGCGCTCGGGCCATTCCACCAGACAAATGGCCTGCCAAATCGCCTGACATGACAATCATTGCCCGCTATTCCTGTCCTACCACCACACTGAAACGACGGTGCTACAGCTACAAAACACGAACCACTACGACAAGCCGAAGGCCTCGTTTACAAGCATGCACAAATAGCAACCGTTGGGAAGAAGTCCTCTCTGTCACAAAACTCTGTGCTGGAGAGAGGAGAGATTGACGTGCTTTGGGGGGGAGGGTGCCAGACTCTCTCGAGGTGCGGTGATATTCGCCACACATGCTGCTTGCACTGCTGGCTTTCTATCATTGACTCACCTGCGAACACCGGTGTCGCAGCCTCAAAGTCGATCAAAGAGGCAATCTTGCCGGCTGGAAGTCTGTATGGATCGATGTGGTGCACTGCACCTGGCGACAAGCACGACACACAACTCGCCATTTTCTCGAAATCTCGATCCGAGACCAGTGCAGCCGGGAACCAGGGAAGGCCCCTCGCAGTTTCCGGCCTCGCAAGGCGACATCGCTTCTGGAGCTTTCGTGGTCGAAGACAGCGAGTTCATGGAGGCATCACGTGCAATCCAGCTGCATTCGGCTGTGAAGTTGCCGAACCTGCGGCCAACTGTCTCGACCGGCCCACTTGACAGTCATGATAGCCGCTCGCAGCCAGCTTACTGATGGCAAACATTGCTTGGACAGCACTGCTGCGTGCATGCAAGTCCTGGACGTTCGACCCCCCCAGCCTGAATTGCCATAGGTGAAATGCAACCTGGGCCGTCAAGAGTTCCACTCTCTCTCCGCTTCATGCTGTTAACTTTGTGGACCCTCTCCACAAACATGCCTGAATAGTCTGGCAGGTGGGGTGAACGGAGAGGCGCAGGCGAGCTCAGCCTTCTGACTCGTGCCGCCTGGTGGCAAATAAGAGGGAGACGGCACATCCAGGTCTGGGCTTGCGAAGAAGGCCCGAAGAAAGCCTCTCGCCTGCATAGAGCTTTGTCTGATTGCGACAGCAACTGTCGCAGTGCTCATGCCCGTCAAAGGTTCAACTCCTTCGCCTCGTCCCCGGCCGAAACAGTCAATGCTTCCCACATGGGGACCCCCCTTGTTTCCCTTCCTCTTGATCTCCTCTCCAGCAGGCCACCCTTCTCCCTGACTGCCCATCCCTTTTCTGCCTTTTCTGCCTCGCTGCCGCGAATGGTTTGACCCGGACGCGAAGCGGCGAAGCGTCTGTGACTCGAGGCTTGGAGGCCCAGGCCCACTCAGGCTCACACCATGGATGTTTTTCCCGAACCCAGCTCTCCACGGAGGAAAAACACATCACCTGCAGAAGTTCGGCCGGTGGTGCATGAACCTTCGCAGCAAACAGCGTGCGCAAGCCTTTTTGTGCTTCGTGCGCCAAGGCCGCCCCCAAAGCTTCGGTGGCGTCCACGTCCAGCCTTGCAAAGCCAAAGCATAGCTGACCCTTTTCTGACGAAGACCTCGAATACTATCGGGTAAGGGAAGTCCTGCAAGGATTCATGCACTTATATCAGACACAAGGCCCAAATGAATCTGGGCTGTATGCTTCTGACATGGACAAAATGAACCTCAACCACGACAAAGCCACGATCGGGCGCTTGGCAACCGTAAAGTATGAATCCTCTGATGTGCTTCGTGCCAGATTGAAATGGCTGCCGGAGTTGGCCCATTATGCAGGAGCTGATCCAATGTCGAAGAGTCCGAAGAGTGTGTAAATCTTCGGAAGGGGAAGCAAGCTGAAGTGAGACCTCAGGTTCGTTGCATCAGTTCTTTTATGCCTCCACGAGGGCGATCTCGGCGGAGGAATCGCCGACAAAGGTGAAGCATGCAAGGTAGACCCCGACACAAGGCAACGCCTAGCACAGCGTAGACCTGCAAAGCCGGGACATTGCATGAGCAGCGTTCGAGAAGGAATGCTGTCGCTTGGGCACGCGACTTCGTGTGCACAGCACGCTAGAGCCGAGTAAGGCTACGAACGTCGTAGAGACAAAAGCTCATGTAGTCCGACCCGAGGGTGCCAAGAGAACACGCGACCTCAGATCCTCCATCAACTCGCAGGGCGCCCATGGAAGGCGGGCAGTGGGGAGTCCAAATGGTTGCACAGACTGTGGCCCAAGCCCGAAATCTCGAACATGTTGAGCTGTGGCCTGCTGACGTAACCACCACAACCAGCCAAAAGAAGACAGGCCCGCGAAATCCCGCGAACCTGCTCTCACCGGCTTCCTCGACGAGTGGAGCGCGGGGTTTGTCGACCGACAGAAAGGGAGCATGTGTGCCCAGGACTGTGCCTGAGTTTTGATGCTTGCTTGCTTGGGGCCCTAGAAAACCTGGAAGAATCCGGCGATTGCGATCAGCTGCACCAATCTGCACCACGGACTATGTTTCTTGCTACTCGGGGACTTGCTGGGCGCCCAACAAGCTCGGTTGAGTCCAGGTTGGCGGGGTTGATCGCCAACTCGAAGTGGCAGAGCAATGGTGTGATCGGAGAAATGGGTCCCGAAGCAACCCAAACCGGCGCACGCACAAAACCTGAAACAACTTGGGAGCCACTGGCTGGGACGAGAGCATGAGCAGGGCTGGTGACACGGAAGTAACATGACCAGATATACAAGCAGGCGAGGCAACGAGGGTTTGTACTATCACCACCGCATTGTTGTTCGATCCATAAACACTCGATCTTACTCATTTCCGCGATTCAATAACCAAATTGTCCCTGCTAGCCGCGCCACACTCGCTCACACGTCGCCTCACTAGGAATCTGCAGCAGCAAGCAGCAGATGAGACGACAGCTATGCATTGCAGTGACGTGTGCTTGCAGTCGTCGTTTAGTGAAGCCAATGTCAGACAACAAGATGGAAAGAGCAACACTTGCGGGAGCAGCGTTGATCCAACGTAGCAACTTTTTGCTCAACGGAGGCAGACAGAAGACCAACTTGTCCCTGATAGCCACGCCCACACTCGCCCACACACCCAGAAAAATTGCAGCAGCAAGTACTTGTAGCAGCCGAGACGACAGCTATGTATTTTTCCCTCTCGCATGGCTGGCATCAATGTCCACAGGCGAGGATTTATGGGGAAATAGCGGTGCTATGTATTGCAGTGACGGGTGCTTGGAGTCATGGTTTAGTGAAGCCAAAGTGAGACCGGAAGATGCAGAATTCAACATTTGCGAGAGCAGTTTACAGTTTTGATCCAACGTCGCAACTCTTTGTTAAACAGAGACAGACAGACAGACACCTTTGCTAAACAAAGACGAACAAACATGTTACAGCATGCCTGGCGCAATACGTCAAGTGCACATAACTGCACACAAATGTCAAGTCTCAGCTTTCCTATCACTTATGCTGCCATTACTACTGAGGGCTTGTACTCTCATCATCAAATTGTTGTTCAATCCATAAACGCTCGTTCCGCAATTTAAACACCAACTTGTCCGTGATAGCCACGCCCACTCTCGCCCACACACCCACAAATTTGCGGCAGCAAGTAGCAGCCGAGACGGCAGCTATGCATTGCAGTGGCGGGTGTTTGCAGTCATCGTTTAGTGAAGCCAAAGTGAGACCGGAAGATGCAGAGAGCAACACCTGCGGGAGCAGTTTTGATCCAACATAGCAACTCCTTGCTAAACAGAGACTGACTGACACCTGTGCTAAACATAGACGGACAGACATGTTGCAGCATGCTCAGCGCAGTAATTCCAGACACTCACTCTTCTCGCACAACATGACACAATACGGCCAGCATCAGCAGCATCAGGCAGCACACCGAGGCCACCATCAGCAGCATCAGAGGAGCCTCATTTCTCCTTCGGAAGTCTGAAAAGGGCACTTACCAAAGAGACCGAAATCTGGCCCACAGCGCCCCTTGGCAACGTGGTTTTTCCCAGCTCCAGATGGGGGATAGCCGCAAAAACCCACCAAAAACCACCCACCCCACCACCCCCACACCCCGCCTGATAACCCCAAGCTCACTGCGTGAGGTAATGAACGAAGCTCCCGCAAGGAGCTTTCGTGAAAAGATTCCTTGATTGCCAAAGCATCCCTGACGGCGCCGGAAGGAGTGCTCAAGGCGCCAGCACCGCGCCAGGGAACGACTTTCCACAAAGGGACAGCATGGCAAGGAGAGGGAGGCAACCGCCCAGGAGCCAAGACCCCAAGCAGCTGTAAGCCGAAGAAAACCGGTTGTGGCTGCTTCTGCTTCCGGCAGACGAAGCACGGCGAGGGCAGCGGGCAGTGCTGAATAGTGCGGAAGGCTTGCAGGTGCTTCGTGAAATTCGGGCCACCAGCATCAGCAAAGCCTAGGTGCCGGGACTTGGAATCCGAAGCCACACAAGACTTCGGGTGCTTGTCGGTTGTACGACTCTCCACCATCCGGCTCTCCAGGGGCGCCGCACGTCTGGCGTTGTGTCCCCACTCTGCCGCCGTTTCACAAAACACGTTTCAAGAGATGTGAGGCACGGGTGACGACATGCGAACCGAGGCAACGTAGCTAAGCGAAACCATATGAAACCATGAAACCAATAGAGAAACCGGAGTCCACCAACTGCGAACGGAACGTTCTTTCTGCCCGGCTGCACGACATGATGGCGTTTCAGATGTCGGCCATCTCAATAAGCTGCCTTTGTGCTTCAGTATGTGTCTTTGGCTTCGGCATGTGAAGTGAGAGAGCGAGTGCTCAATGAGATGGTGAACCTGGATGTGGCCTTGCACAGCTCAGGGCCTATGGCCATGCACAGCCACATCGGGGCAGACAAGGAAGCATGGTGAAACGTTCCTTGGGAAACGCACCAAGCATACATCGGCAACCCGAGTCCTTCCAGAAGCAAACGGGGGGTTCTGTGAGGTGGATAAACCATACTCTACGCGTCGTGAAACGCTCCTGGCATCATCGCCGGCGACTCCTCGAGCGTCGTTGCCCATTTCGCTTTCTGGATGCCTTTGCTGCAAGCAGCGCGATGCAGCGAAACGGCTGCTCAAGCACCTTACTGCTTGCCGAATCGCGCTTTGCGAACTGCCCTTCAGCACCATCCTGACATGCAGGGAGGTGTCACACCGAAGTACGGACATCTGCTCGGGGCTTCCACTGGTGCAAAATCTTGCCATCTAGATTTGTGTAGCCATAGCTTGTTCAGGCAAGCATCTCTTGCTGGTATACAGTCATGAGCTCCGCAGTCATGACACCGCCGCTGTGAGGAATGTTGAAGACATCCTCAACTCAACAGGAACTATGCCTTTTAGCCTGTGAAGTCTTCTGCATGGTAAAAGGCTTGAACACAACTAACACAGACTAACACATGCTGTTAAACTGTGATAAGCACACACACACACAGACATCTCATACTTAAGAAGGACTTGCGCGTGGATGCGCTTGGTTCGGTCGCGGAGAACTACCGCCCCGACGTGAAACTGGGTCTGTAGTTGAAGGACGACTGTGGAGCAGCTTGGATATCCCACAGCTTCTAGGCAACCTCGCGAAAAGCAGCATAAATCACCTGGGTCTATGTCACACTGTAGCACGAGGTCGGAGGGGTGAGGCCCATCGCCGATTGGAGACTTGAACGGTCTGTCGAGAAGCCCTTGAACATCCTGGAACCCGTCGCTTCAAGTTTTCTATTGCAGACAAGCCTAGAATGCCACAAATCTCAGCGGAAGCGGTCATTTTCGCTGGACTGGAGCTCTCCGGGAATTGAAAAGTGAAAGTGCTCGCGAGGCCCGGCAGGGTCGGGACCATTGAATAGGTGGTAATCGCGCTCTGCCAGACCGTCTGCAACATGCGCCTGGCCTTTGGCACTGCCTTTCGCAATCGGCTCGCGACTGGTTTGTGACGGGATCTGCAGCCATAAAGCTTCCGAGGAGCGTGTACACGATGCAGGGTGCAAAGGATGCGCACTAGTGACTTTGTGGCTATTGAGTTTGACACTCGCAGATTTTCCGACAGGCGGCCACACAGGATCGAGCAGCTCCGTGACTTCGCGCCTGAATGATCGCATACCTGCTCGCCGGTTTTCTTCCAAGGGCATCACACGCTTACACACAATACTTGCGTGTGTTTCTAGCTCGGTCCTTCCATGCTGTGGGTGGTGCCCAATCCTTGGAGCCGGCGGTTGCTCTTCCATGTCTCACGAAAGGCCCCGTACGCCTATGCGCCTACTGTCAAGGCTCTGCGCCCTCTCAATGTCCTTTCCCATGTTTTTGATGTCACTCTCATCTTCGATGTCCTTCAACGAACTTTCAACGAACCAATGATGTTCACAGGGGGAGATTCTTGCCGGCCCTGGCTCTGCCCTAGCGCTCCGAAAGCTCCTCCGGCACGTTCTTGACGAAGACAACGCACGTGGTGCTCTTTTCCAACAAGTTCTCGAAGTCCTCTTCAGAGATGACCTTCGCCTGCACCGTGTGGCCGAGTGGCCGAGTGTTGTTAGATCTTGTGCCTGCCCGAGAGCACTCAGCTGCCCAGCCTTCATCTTTGGAATTCCGACTTTCCACTTCTCGATAGCACCGACCAAAGCCTCAGCCTGCGGACAGGAACGCAGAAGCTCTGATGGCCTGCACCAGTGCAGAGCTGGCCTCCGGTATTGACTTCGCTTCCAGCACCGCCGTTTGCACGTCCTTACACTTAGCCGAGCAGCATGCAGAATACAGGTGTGTAGTCGGCACCACCAACGACCGTGAGGCATGGGGTTGAGGGGTGGAGGCAGGTGAAAAGGCGTGGCAGGATCAGAAACGGTTGCCCCCGCCCTGTGTCACCGGTCCCTTTCCGTCCCCCGTTCGGTGGTCCTTGGACTGTTGCTTTGTCTGGTTTGGACGGTGTCGTTTGTCGGTCCCTTTGTTCGGGAACTAGGTGAAAGACGCTCGATCGCAGCTCCCCCAGTTGGGTCTCTGTTCTGGCTATTCTATCTTTCTTTCGCTTTCCTCGTGGTGAAACATGGTTAATCAATGCTTATTTGCTATCTTGTGCGCTCCTTCCCAGTCGAGGGGCCTGTCGAATTGCGTTTTCCTTTCCAAAGCCATCTTTTACCTAGGAAAACTTGGCGTTTCGGTCAAAAACCCACCTTGTCCTAGGAAAACATCTGTATTCTACTCCAGGACCCGACTTTTCCTGGCAAAGAGTGTGTATTTCATTTGTTGTTTGTGCGCCTTACGACTTGGTTTTGCCATAAGGTTCCAGTGTCATTGCTATTAGGGATTCGATTCCGTTTAGCGTTAATACTACACAATATACAGGGTACTAACCAGCGCATTGTTCGGATCAGCTTTTGGTATCAGTAAAAAGCTAGTACTGCAGGTTTAGCACAGAACGGGACCCAGGATATCAGGGTTGTCACAACTACCGCTACGATCTCTTTTGGCTGACTAAGGAGTCAGATTATGGGTGGTATTCATGCAACTATGGATGGCTTTGGGGCTGCTGTCATAGCGAATACCATTGACATAACGCTGAATGGCAAGGATAGGGTTAAGGTTGATGTTGTTTGGAATTTGGAGTCAATTAACGATCATCGTCAATATGTTGCTATCTAATACAAGTTCAACCTTAGGGTTAGTATGTGTATATACACACATAAATGTCATACACGCATTCGGACAAGCCCGACAGCAAGTCCGACATGATCATACATTGGAAGGGGGTGTCATATATATGAGATGTTGAAGTAAGCACACAAACAATTTTGCCATCCCCAAAAATCTAGGGGCCGTCATTTGGGCAATGTCAGAGCGAAAACAGTCCGAAGCGTGGTGCTTAACAACGTGAAACACAGTACTACGCTCGTTCATACGTATTGCTGAGGCTTTGATTTGAGACTACAGGAAGGCTATTTTGGCAGTTAATACTCGGGCCCATATTTATCTTCGGGTATTCAGACTCGGAACATCTGCATGCAGGGTCGCAAGGAATTGGGAATGAAGGCGGCTGCCGTTATACACATGCTCTCCCCTCGGAACTTCAAAACTGGATCTTCAAAACTGGATCATACACCAGAACCCTACATGTAGGAGGATCAGTGGCGGTATCGCGGCACTTCGCGCAGTTCTTGGGGGACGGGTTAGCTTTTATACCCATATATATATACACATATAGATCTACACACACATGTATTTATATACCTTTGTTTGCTAAGCCCCGCCACCCCCCCCAAGAACTACCGCGCGGTGCCGCCATACGACCACCAATCCTCCTATGTTTGGGCTTCTGGTGTATCCGGGCTTAGCGTGTGGCTTTGAAGTTCCGAGCGGAGAGCATGTGTATATCGGCAGCCGTCTTCACACTCAATTCCACGCGACCCTTCACTCAGATTCTCCGAGAGACGATTTCTTCAACGATGACAGTCATTTCTACAGTATGGGCCAAGAATTAACTCTCAGATCAAGGACCGTGAGCCTTGGCTGACTCCTATTCCCAAGCAGCAGTATCCCTAAGACTATCTTTGCAATTAGACATTGACGCCGCAATGGTGACAGTAGTATCTTATTTCAAGTTTACCCAAGAGAGATGCCCTACAGATCAACGTCTTAGTTCGTATGGGTTACAATGCTATGCCGTCCAGTAACCCCATTTTACATCCCCACATTGTCTCCCATATCGACCTGGAGGTTAGTACAATAATATCCATCAACCTGACGGGCCTTTCGATAGTAAGGATATTGCAGTCACCGCAGCAACCCTAATGATGGATCTGACTCCAAGATTGGCCTGCTCATGCAAGACTTATGCTCGCCAGGCGTGCTGGCGCCCGGCATTTTTTGAAACAAGACCTCAGTCACTTTTTTGACTCAATCCATGTAGGCACTGCCGTTCACCTCTTGAATAGGCTAGGTGCCCCTCCCGTCTTCTCGCCTCCTTCTATGGTGGCCAGCAGAGGCTTTTCAAACATGAAAGGTACCTGCACGATCAGTGGACCCCTGTGTCGATCGGATGCATCCAGGGATGTCCTCTCTCCCCGACAATTGCACTGGCCTTCGGCCACTTATGGTCTCGATTCTGCGCCACCCCGGGCACCAACAACCTCATCTTCATAGATGACCGGGTTCTGTGGCCCTTGCCTGGAAGCGCTCAGCCGGCTCGCCTGCTTGATGCTGCTCTTGACAAAAGCACGGAGTTCGATTCCATCTTTGGGTTTAAGTGTCGCCCTTCCAAGTGTGCAGTCGCTCAGCCTCCAGGCGAGGATGTGCTCACTGCTTTTGCCTCTGCTAAGGGTTACGAAGTTCAGCACACTCTTGAAATCTTGGGGATTGTCATGCACTTGGAAGAAGAGTCCAACTCCCTCTTGAAGCTTCAGATGCATACCCTCTTGACCCGACTTTGGTTCCTTAAGGTTGCTAAGCCCCCCCCTAGAGGTTGCAAAACGCATAGCCAACAGCTTGGTCGGCTCGGCCATGGTTTGGGCTGCAGGAGTGGCGGTCCCTGACGACTGCGAACTTGATGCCATCAGAAATGAGCTCAATGCCATTTTGCAGCCTCACGTCACTTTTGAGACCCCTTGGTGTCTCATTTGTGCTGTGCACGGGTGGGAATGGGACCCGCTGTGGTTGTGCCAGTGGCGTGCCTTGCAGAGTGCCTGGAGGTTTCAGACCAATCCGCCTGCATGGTTGGATACGGTCCCTCTCACTGATGCTTTCCCCACCTGGATGCAGACTTTACCCGTTGCAGTGCAGACTGTGCAGGCCCATGCGTGGCAAGTCACAGCTGATGGGAGCCAGATTACTCGTCAAGATGCTCAAGGCTGCACTCGACGATTTTATTTTGGCTGTGATCATAAAAATGTTTTAAGAGAATGGCTTTCGCATTGTTTTCAGCAAAAGTTCTTGCATAAGTGCGGTAGAGTGAAGACTAGGCTCCACAGAGATGATCCACTGGCTGCCACTGGTCTTGATCTCCCTAAACCCAATCGTACCGTAAGTTTTGCACTTGCCGGACACAAGGCGCTGGGCCGCGATGGTCCCCTTGAACAGCGGCGTGCAGCTCATGCAACAGGTGCAACCGGATGGCATTTTGCACGTAAAATGCACTTGCCTAAAGGTCAGGTTGTGACATGTATGTGTGGAGGTATGTGGCCCAGCAGGGCCCACTTGCTTTGGCGCGGCGCTCACACTGCCCACCTTCGTGCAGGTCTGACGATGCCCGTCGACCGTGCGCAAGAACGCTTGTTTGCAGCTCCTCTGCCGGAGAAGCCTCCTGCAGCGGCAGAGTCGGACTACGAGGAGTGGCTGGGACGACTTTGTGAACACCTTGAAGAGATGACGCGACGACATGACCTGCTGGTCATTGCGACGGATGGCAGTTCTTGCCAGGATACAGGTGCGTGCGCCCTTGTGACGCTTCAGGCGGCCTACTCGTATGGCGATGAGAAGGAGGATCAGAGCTCGTTTAAATACGAGCTGCTTGGTCTCCTCTCCCTCCTTCGTGCCTTGAAACGGGGACGGATAAAAACGTCGTGCACCATTGTTGCGCTTTCGGACTGTCAGTCGGCGATTGCTGCTCTGGATGCGCCCATGTCTTGTTGCCTCCCCACTTGGGCGAAGGAAGCCGCCGCGCTGAAGAAAGAACTTGAGGATCGTGCCCTGAGCCTGCTGCTTGAATGGGTGCCCTCGCATGGCAAGCATAGCACTTGGGTCCCTAACTCCAAGTTGGACCTGTGCAATGCCGGTTCTTGAATGATAAGGCTGATCATGAGGCCAACTTGTGTCGTCTGCGACGTGCTTCGGGCTCCTTGAGGGAGCAGTGGCACGCTCAGAGAGAAGTTGCTTGTAAGTGGGAGACGGATGCAATACATGCTTCTGCTGCGTCTGCCAAGATCCTGCAGCAGCACATCGCTGATTCTTTGCAGCGGGTGCAGCCTGCACTGAGTGAGCCGGGCTAACTTGTGGCCCTGCTCGTGCTGTTGGTGAGAGGCAGTTTCCTGCCTAGGGTAGGGTAGGGTAGGCCGCAGACACGCGACCAGGCGCCTTGCCTGTCGCGTTGAGTAGTTTGCAGACTCGTGATGGCCGTGTCACGACTAGGAGCCTTGTTTCACTGGTTCACAAGAGGAGAGTCTTTGAGTGGGACTTCGGCAAGCTCATGCTCTTCTATATGTTTCTGAAGCCTTGAGGCCTTTCGCTTGCTGTACAGCTTTCGCGATCGCTCTTGGCTTCTGGTGATTCTCACCCGAGGCGACGTGCTGGTGTTGAGGACTTGCTGGGGCGAGCCTCTGCATCCCAAACAAAGTCGCAGGCAAGCAACTTCAACATGGCCTACCCCGCGGCACACCTCACGAAGATGGATAAAGTCCTCCTCTTTCCACCATCGCATGCGGTGGACGCGATTTGCTTTGATGGCCACTTCGGCATCCACCGTGGCCTATGCCCAGTCGATCCGCCAAGGACGGTGCGACTTAAGGGGCACCCCCGCAAGAAGATCCTTAGAGAACATGACCGCAGCTGCACTTGCCGGTCGAAGGATTCTATTCGGGTGGTTCTCCCTCAGCGAACTGCCGGCTGGCATTTCGCAGTTGATCCCTCGAGCCGGAGAGTCCTTGGAGCCGTGGAGCATGTTCAAAACGAAAACAACAAGGACAAGGTTCGTCTCCTCAAGGCGGTGATGAACATGGACCAAGTGGAGGCCGACTTGTTGATTCACGACGATATCTGCCACTTCCAACAGTATGCCTCTCGCAAGAAGCATGCAACAGACTTCAACTCCATTCGCTACTACGTGGTCGATGCATTCCATGCACCTAACCACAAGTGTTCAAAGTCAACTTGGACTCCAGCTGAGCGAAGGCGCTGTCGCAATGTCAGAACAAATGTATCCGAGTCCTTCAATGCGTGGGTTCGCAGCTTGAATTTCTTTCTTAACAACCTCCGTCCCAAGTCCCATCGCTTCTGGGTAGAGGAAATGTGTAACTTCTACAACAACAATCTGCAGTCTGTCCCGATTCGCATTTCCCGACGCAGAAATGTCCTTGGCAGAGCCAAGAAGATGTTGAAGCGTCCCGCAGCTGTGCAGATGTTGAAGCGTCCCGCTGCTGTGCAGATGTTGAAGCGCCCTGCTGCCATACAGAAGCGTCCGGCCAGTTCTCGTTAGGTTTGTGCGGTGTCGCAGTTTGAAGGTTTCAACCTCATAGCAAGTGGTGCCTCCAGTCTGGCTGGAAGCTTGTGCATCCACGTATTGGGCTCAAAAGACATGCAGCTGCTGAGAAATCCAATAAAAACTGCTGCACATGCTCTGCAGTCCGTGCAGTGGTTGGCAAGTAGCACCTGAAAATCAGCAGCCCGCCCCAAACCCCAGTCATCCAAGGTCACTGGTCTGCAATGATGCGTCGCAACTTGGAGGGCTTGAGGGTTTTCCGGTTTGGGTTTGATAATTCTATGTTTGCTTTTCCTTGGTACGTCGTTCCCGACCACTACAAACCTTGAAAACGATAGGTTCCCACAACGTCCTCCTCCCTTACTGTTCAGGTTTACGGAGGTAAGCTGCCCAAACATTTGCTTCAACGGTAGGAGTCACGTTCGCGATAAGATTATACTACACAAAACGACTTCCCTCATAAATCAACGTCTAATAGCCACATTATACATCTCCATATTAATGCCCATATCAACCTGAAGGTTAATACAATAATGTCCATCAGCCTGATTGGCCCCTCGCTAGTAAGGATATTGCCGTCCCCTTGACAAGCCCAGTCTTGGATCTGATCTTGTATCTTATTCGCAAGCTTCAGATCGATCTTAAGATCACCCACAAGCTGTTCCCATTGGTAGCCTTCGTACTGTACCAGATCCTTCCCTCAACAGCAACCCAAAAAATGGCTTTAGGAGAAACCCAGACCATTGCAGGTTAATCAATCCAGCTGTAGTATCCCTAGCATGAGCCTTCTAGACCCCGAAGTTTAACATCATGGCATCCCCAATACGAGTTCCTGTTGCATTCATACAAGTAAGCTAAACACTCCCCAAACAATTGCTTCAACAGTAGACGTAAAAATCATGCTAATAGTCAACTACACAAAACGAACCCCACTAAGAAACACGATCTTTGCTGTTTTCGCTCTGGCGTTGCCCAAATGATGGACTTTAGAATTTTTTGGTGTTATAAACTCATTTTTTGCTGACAGCAACATGCATATATATATATATATACATACATACATACATTATTTTGTACATGGCACACCCTTCTCACTGTATTCTATGATCATGTCGGACTTGCTGCCGGACTTGCCTGCATGCGTGTATGTGTATTTATGTGTGCGTACGCAGATGCCAACTTAATGGTTAAACTTGTGCGAGGATCGTTGAATGACTCCTGATTCCAAACAACATCAACCCCAACCCTATCCTTGTCATTCGTATGTCAATGGTGACCGTAATGTTCGCCCTAACAGCAGCTCTAAGGACATCTATTGTAGCCTTTGTACCACCCACAACCTGACCCTAGTTTTGCTCTTTTCAATTTGCACTAGCTTTGTGTTGACCGACAACGGACCTTTCTAGAAGGAGCGAAAGGGACCGATTACGTCCGGGCTCCTTACCGGGGCCCTCCTCCCCCCATCACTTTAACTGTTGTGGATCGCGGCTCACCTGGCTGCTTAATGCGAAGGACTACGAAGAATTCATTCCCGGCAAGCTCCACAGTGTAACATAAGCCGACGGGCCTGTAATGACAATAAAACAAGCTTGGGTGCGTGCGGCCACTCAAACCGAGCATCTGCATGCGCGGTCGGGGATTTGACCATGACCAGTTGCGCCCCAACTGGTGCCATGCTTGCAGAGCTTCCACCAGCTTTCTTGACAAACCTTAACTTGCGTAGCAGCCCGAGGCCAAAGAACACACGTACCGCCTGAACTAGGAATGTCGCTGCATTCCATGGTCTCATTACTGCCATTGGCTGGAATTCAAAGCTAAAGCACCACTGAAGCGGCTTCTTGAGAACGTCTGGCGGAATGTTCCAAACTTGAACGAAGCGCAGATCCGCCTCCGGCTTCATCTTGCCGCAGCGGGTGCACTGTGTAATATGTCCAAACATCGATGCCCCACAGCTTTTGCAAGTCCAGATTGGCTTGATGGCATCCTCAGTGAGGCAGACTTTTCTGCACTGTCGGCCCTGCCGTCCAGTCGATCGGTGGGAGATTGGGTTTCGGCCCTAGCAAGACTACATCTCACAGCACTCTGCTTGCTGACGAAAGTCTGACTCGCCCTGTTGTTGCACACCAGGGGCATTGCCTGCACCAGCATCCTCATCGTGCTGTCCTCAGGGCAATGCCATGTTCGAACAAGTGGCATACCTGGGCAAGCAATGCATAGCAATGCGCTCCTGTGCTTTTCCTTGGCAGAGCGACGTCGCTCTGCCGGCCGGCATTTCCATTAGACCTTTCTCGTTTCTCTCGCAGGCTGTCTCGAGCTCGTGAATCACTCCGATCACGGCGGATGCCAGGCCGTCTGGAGTCACGATCGAGTGACCTGGAGTCCCTTCTATCCACTCGCTTTCGATCTCCACGCCGGTCATCTCGACGCTCCTCGGACAAAGCTTCAGTGGCATCGAGAGGGTAGGCGGGTAGACGGTAGACGTGCTCTGTCTGCCGTCGTGGTGAAAGCGTAGCATGCGAGGCGAGGACGTCTCTTGTGCTCGGCTCTCGGCTCTCCCACGGCTCTCCCGCTGCTCACGCCACGCCAGGGCACTCTGTGACGGCTGTCGCTGCGGCGCCCCATGAAAGACCGCGCACCGCCGCGCCGCGCCTTTTTCTCCTGCAGGCTCAAACGAAGACAGCCGACACTTGCCCCCTCCTTGGGACCCGTATCCTGCCTGATGCCTGGCCGCTACGGGCCCATTTGCCAGGCCAGGCTCCACCAGCCGCAAGTCAGCAGGAGACTCTACACATAGTCTGTCACCGTCACTCCCTGTTTCAATCGTCTTGTATCTGTAGCTAGGCAACTAGCCTTAGATGGTGCCCAACGCGATACCAGAGGCAGTCTTGGATGCTTCTGCTGAGGATGCTGAGCCAAAGATGGACAACTGCATACTACGGATTGCCGAGTCTGAGACTGAGCTGAAACCGGGGCCAGCACAGACTGACTTCCAATTCGGAAGCTTCGTCTCCTGGCATGCCTGGGACGCCACTCGTACGCGTCGTGCCTGCTTCGTGCCTGCGCAATGCCTGCGACGTTTTCATGCGCCGCGAAACTGCCACGCTGTGTTCGCAGCAGGTCTGTGAAACTGGGGCATGGGGAGGTGTTACTGCTAGACCTTGGAGAAGTACGTCGGCATGCTACGGGGTTCGACTCGTGGTGGGTGAAACTGGCTCCTCATCTACTATGGCTAGGGCTCACTGCGACGGCCGCTGCTGTTCCTCCAAGGTATTGAGCTCCTGCTTGAACCTCAATGCGATGCATGCAGCATATAGATTGCCAGCAACAGTTGGTGATAGGAGTTGGAAGCTATTGATTAAAACCGCATCCCTGTTTGTTGTGCCACAGACCAGCGCTTGCGGATGAAGTTTGTTTCGGGATGGTTCGGCGTCGGGGCAGGCTGCTTGCCTCGGTGCTGCAAAAATTGCATGCTCTTCCTGGCTGCCCAGGACGCTGAGGAAAACAAGCCGCCTAAGGCCGACCCTCGTGGATGAATGCTTTTCGGTTTTTTGACTTCGCATGCCAATGCGGAGAAGTCGAAACATCCAAGCCAGTACCACCGCTCGAATGATGGCGTCCGTTCAAAGTCAAAGCAAACGTTTGCCTGCCTCGGTTTTCATCTCGTGTCAGTGATTTCTTTCCCTGCACATGCACACCAACGGACCCGAACACTGATCACTCCACTTCGCAGTTACCCCTCCGACCGTTGGTGGGCAGCACTGTAACTACAGAAGCTTCTCCCCCGTTCGCAGGATGAGGGCATTGAGTTCGGGATGCAGCATTGCCTGCCCCCGCCCTCTCCCGTTCAACATGCATGAGGTTTGAAGCTGTATATCATGCTACTGTCGACTTAGCTCGCGACTCAATGACCTCCCGGTCACGCAAATCCTCCTTGACGTCCAGGGCCCGGAGCTTCGCCAGCTCCTCACCAGGCGCCGAGGTGCTTGGTACCGCACAACTCTGACCCTAACCGCACACCTCCAGGTGAAGAAGCTGCTTGCCAAACCTTGGCTCGCAGCAAGTGGCCAGGCGCCAGTGCTGCAAGGAAATGGAGCATAGTCTTTCAGGCTGGTTGAATCACAGCAGCTCTTGCATTTCCGCATCTCGCTGTTCCTCCTTCTTCTCCTGCACTCAACTCATGCTACCGCAGCGCATGCAGATATGCGGTGAAGCTGCCAACGTCCGGTCGATCAGTCGACAAGTTTAGCTGTGGCCCCATTTGTGGCTGTGCAGGGCTTCCAAGCAAGTCTTAAGTCTCATAATCCCTCGCACTCCTGTGCTCCCTGAGCGCAGGCCACTTGGCAGTTCTGCTTCCGAGATACCCCGTGCGGGACACACTGCCGTGTTATACAACCCATGCAACTCCAACGTCACGGCTGAAAAGGGTTTGTGCAACTGCGCAATGCGATGCACAAGGCCTCCTCCTGCTGCTTGGCTTGACCTAGCAGCTTTGTGAGAGACTTGACCTCGGGACATGTTATCCTGGACTCGCAAATCGCGCAAGCTCTCAAAGGAGCACAAAGACCAATCTGCTTTGCAGCAGGTAGAAACCGGCCAGGATGAAGCATTCCAGTGTCAAAACATGCTCCAAAATGCTCATTCTCGATGTAGCTTGGCGTCAGATTCGTCACGTCGCCGAAGTTCGATCACTGCCTGCTTGTATTTGTCTTCCGCGCTCTCCTCAGTCTGCTCGGATGTGGACCCGTCGCCAAGCGGCCCATGCAATTGTTGCCAAGCTGCTGCACGCCTTTGCTCGATGCGCAAGCGTGCCAGTACCTCTGCAATGTCCGGCGATTCCATGAAACCTTTACGGTATGTTCGAGTTTGGAGATAAAAGACGAATATCGACGAGGACTACTTTAATGGACCGGGTTTTAGCTAGTGACTTATAGGGGTTATGGAGGTTAGTAAAGGGTTGTCAAGTGGTTATCATAAATGGTTACATAAGTGGTTATGGAAGGGTTTATGTAAAGGGTTATGTAGAGGGTTATAGTGGTTATGATCTAGGCTTTAAGCCAACAATATTTGGTATGTGCACTATAGAATTTCGGAGGTGCACCTTATGATTTTATTAAGATTCATGTCCTACCAAACCAAAATTCGTGTAGAATGGAGTTTGTTCCCGCTGCACGGCAGCTTCTGCAGCGCGCGAGAACCTGCTCAAAATGACTTTACCCCGCATCCTGGCTGACAGGTTGCTTGGTTGCTTCAGAACATGCGCAAGCACCTTCCATGGGAGGTATACAACGTCGTTGTTGCAACATCGACTTAGCCCGAAGCCTGGCTGACAGGTTGTTTGGTTGACTCTTTACCCCAATCCTGGCGGGACGACAACTTTACCCCATAATCGTGGCTGCCAGGTTTGGTTGCTGCAGGCGCACCGCAAGATGCCCCAAGCCAGGCGAACAGGTTGCTTCAGAACAGTGCAAGCACGCCCCAGCAACGACTTATATGTACCCCTGCCTGACAGGTTGATTGCATGGTTGCTTCAGAACAGCACAAGCACCTCCCAGCAACGATTTTATTATACCCCATCCAGGTGCACTTCCCAAGAAGGATTTCATCACGCGTGATGCACTTGAGTTGGAGTATATGACCGGCGCCGCTTTCTCATCGCTCTCATGTACAGTGCAAGCGCCCCGGGGCCAAGACACAAACACACACACACACACACACACACTGACACACACACACACACACACATGCACAGAGACATGCGGACACGGCAGAACTCACAGACCGGGAAACAAGAGATGAAGCACGGCACCACTTTGGAATTACATCTCTGCCGCTGTAGACTATACTAACTCCCTGGCACTGAACTTAGCATGTACATATGCATTTCTATACTTGTGACTCGTCAGTGGCGAGCACATATGTGCTGTATATAGATATATAAATCATATATACATAAGTAAGTCACAGACAGAGTATAGCTTATTGCTTTGTAACACCCTGGCCATGGAAGAGCACGCTGCCGAGTTGAAAAAGGCGCGCAAGTCGCGGAAACTTGCAGAGAACGAAGAGCGGTTTCTCGCTGAGTACGAGGCTCTGAAAAAGGCTGGTGTGTTTCAGGCGCCGCTGGTGCCTGGCGCGAAAGCCAAGAGCGCGTCGCAGAGCGCGGTGAAACACGGTGCATCAGCTGCAGAGGACTCCTCGTACGAGTATTACTCCTCGGGCGAGGAGGTGGAAGAGAAAGGCGCGCCTGTTACGGCGGCGAAGCAGGTGGCCAGAGAGGTGGAGGCGCGCCGGAAGCAGGCGCCCAGGGGGGCGAAGACCGAAGAGGAGGAGGATGAAGGGGAAGAGGAGCGCCGTCCCCGGCGGGAGGAGGATCGGCTGCAGCGCCTGCGGCGGGAGTTCGAGCACGAGGCAGAGCGCCAAAGGCGGCACGAGCGCGAGTCGCGCGAGGAGTGGGAACGCTTTCGCGAGCGGATGGAGGAGGATGCGCGCGCTCGTCGCGTGGAAATGGAAGAGCAGCTGCGCGAACACGAAGAGCGGATGCGCGATCTTCGCGAGACACACAGGCGCAGGCAGCGCGAGGACATGGATGAGGAGGAAGAGCGGCGCCGTGCACGGCGGGAGGAGCGGCGCGAGGACAGGCGCGGGGACAGGCGCCCCCTTGATCGAGAAGAGCGCCCAACGAGGCGAGAAGAGCGCCCAGCGGGGCGGGAGGAGCTCCCAACAGGACGGGAGGAGCGCCCAACGGGGCGGGAGGAGCGCCCAACGTGGCGGAATGTCCTTTTTCCAGCTTCCTCGTGTGAGGCATGGGGGCGAGCGCAGCGCTCCGCGGACAATGCTGGTGCGTCGGATCGCAGAGGCGGCAAGAGCGGCAAAGGGCGCGGTCATCGCGAGAGCTACGTTGGCCGTGAGGTGGATCTACAAGTTGGTCAGCCACTGGACAAGAACCGTGGCGGAGGCGCAACAAAAGTCGCTGTGTTGCTGGCCACGTACGAGCGCGCTGGTGTCGCGAGGGAGCTCAAGGAGCTGGCTGAGCGGTTTTCGGATGAACTCGCTGCACGCGTGGAGCCCGTCAAGGCCAACAGCTGGAGCGACAAGCTCAGGCGCCTCTGCACGGCGATTGGTCACAGCCAGGCGCGCGAGATTCGCGATATGGCTGAGGAGTACAAGCACGCTCCTCCTGTCAAGGCTGCCATGCAGAATCGTCAGTGGCAGAGCTACCGGGAGCGCGGTTACCGCGACTGAGTCTAAAAAGGGCGTTTGCCGCCGTGTAGCTTGAGGGCGTGCTTCGCCGTTGTATATAGTCTTAAAGGCCACACCTGCGGCGTGGAAGAGCAGTTATACGTCGATCATGCAAGCAGTGTATATCACTTCGACCGAAAGCCAGCAGATGTGTGTCCTGTGTGGCAGTATACAGCAGCGTCCAAAGTCCGCCAGTAGCCAAAAAGTTGTGGTTTCAGCTGCCCGTGCCCTAAACCCTAAACCTTGGGCTCCATAGACCGTATAAACCCCAACATTAAATTATGTCTGTAGTATTATACAGTAATACTTACGGTTCGCCTGCAATTCATAGATTGATATATGTGAATCAACTTATCATACTCATGTAGAAACAAGAATGACCTACAACATGACGAACTAAATAGGGTTTTGTTTAGTGTTAATTATATGTAAAACTAACATCTATAAATAAATATCATGGTGAACCACTATAACATGAGTTTCTGGTTGTTGTTGTTGTTGTTGTTGTTGCTGCTGCTGTTGTTGCTAGTGTTGTTGTTGTTGTTGTTGTTGTTGTTGTTGTTGTTGTTGTTGTTGTTGTTGTTGTTGTGCTGTTGCCATTAACGTTGATGCTGTCGTGCTGCTGCTTGCTTGCTTGGGTGGGCGGGTGGGTGTGGGTTTAGGGTTTGGGGTTATATAGGGTGTTATACGGTTCAGGGTTGGGTTTAGGGTTTAGGGTTGGCGGCTTGGGGCTTGGAGGGTTTAGGGTTGAGGATGTGGGGTTTAAGGGTTAACGGTTCAAGCATAGGGATAAGGGATTAAGGAGTTGGGGTTCAAGGGGTTTAAGGTTTAGGGTTTGGTGCTTAAGGTTCAGGGTTAGGGTTTAGGGGCTTGGGGTTTGGGGTTTGGCGTTTAGGGGGTTGAGGGTTTGGAGTTTTAGGGTTTATAGTTCAGGGTTAGGGTTTGTGGGTGTCTGGGCGTTGGCTGCTGGTTGAATGGGCGCGGGGTGGGTTTGCATGTTTTGTGCCGGTTGTTCGGCATGATGTGCGGCGTGGGTTGTGGGTGTGAGGGTGTGCTGGTTGTTGACGGGGCAACATCTGGCGGAAGTGATTCACAGCTCACTTCCGCCAGATGTTGCCAACAGATGCGTGAAATTTTGTTTAATGCAGTATTTACAGGCTTTTTGCTCGGTGGCGCATCACTTCCGCCAGATTTTGCCCGCAGATGTGGGGGATGCCTGGCTGTTGTTTTCACGCGGTATTTGCAGCATGGTGGTTGGGGGCGGTCGCTTGGGGGGCGTAGGCTTCTTGGCTGGGGCTGGGGTTTGGGGGGCTGTGGGTGCCGGGGGGGGCCGGGGGGGGGGCGGGGTCGGGGTGGGTGGGCGCGTGGTGGCGCCGTGGTTGGGGGTGGGGGCGTTGGGGAGGGGGCTGGGAAGGGCCGGGGAGGGCGGGGGGCGGGGGGGGGCGGGGGGGGGGGGGCGGGGGGGGGGGGCGGGGGGGGGGGGCGGGGGGGGGGGGAGGGGCGGGGGGGGGGGGGAGTGGGGGCGGGGCGGGCGGGCGGGGGGGCGGCCGGGCGGGGGGCGCCTTGGGGCTGCTTGCGGGGCTAGGCAGGGCTGGGCAAGGCTGGGGGGGAGCCGAAAATTCCAATTTACATATATAAATTGGAATTTCCATTTTCGGAAATTCCAATTTACATATATAAATTGGAATTTCCATTTTCGGAAATTCCAATTTATATATATAAATTGGAATTTTTTTTTTGGAAATTCCAATTTATATATATAAATTGGAATTTTTTTTTTGGAAATTCCAATTTATATATATAAATTGGAATTTCCGTTTTTGGAAATTTCAATTTATATATATAAATTGGAATTTTCGGCTCCCCCCAGCCCTGCCCAGCCCTGCCTAGCCCCGTCAAGCAGCCCCCAGCCACCCCCACGCCCCCCCCCCCCCCCCCCCCCCCCCCCCCCCCCCCCCCCCCCCCCCCCCCCCCCCCCCCCCCCCCCCCCCCCCCCCCCCCCCCCCCCCCCCAACGCCCCCCCAAGCCTCCCCCCCATGCCCCCCCCCCCCACATCCCCGAAGCCCGCCCAAAAGAGGGTGGAGGGGGGGATACGGGTTTGGGGGAGGCTTAAGGGTTGGCAGCTTGGGGTTTAAGGCTTTAGGGTCGAGGGTTTGGGGTTTAAGGCTTAGCGGTTCAAGCCTAGGGATAAGGGATTAAGGGTTTGGGTTCAAGCGTTGTGGGTTTAGGGTTTTATGAATCAAATACTTGAACAATTGCATTAAAGTAAAATCTCAACCCTAAACCCTAAACCCTAAAAACCAAAACCTGTTGTGCGCACTCTTTTTTTTGCAGCCTGAAGCGTCACGCTCCGCTTTGCTCTGCCGTCGCGGCACACATTTGCAGCTGTATTTTAGATTATAATATATTATACCTATGTGCTTCGTATTAATCTGGCTATATATATAAAGCCCGTAAACCCAGGCCGCAAGTGTGCGCTGCTGGAAGCTGTACAAGGCGACATGCGCCCACTATCCGGCGACTGGCGCCCTTTTGGCGGTAAACGCCCTAATCCTCGTAGCCCCGCCGCCGCCAATCCTCCCACTTCTTGTTGGCCAGGGCGCTCTGCAGGAAACTGCACCTGTGGGTGTAGTCGTAAAGCAGCTCCTGAACCATGTCCTCGTCCTGGTTCTCGATCGCTATAACTAAGCGCCGCAGCTTGTCTGCCCACGACCCATCCTCAATCCACGTCGTGCGCGCACTTAAAGCGTCTTGGAAGCGCTCTGCCATGTCGAGCAAGTCTGCGCTCAAGCCATCGCGTTCAAACGCGCCCAGCAGCACGGCGACCTTCGTGACGGCGCCCCCTCGGCGGCGATCCAACGGAGTTCCATCCGGAGCTTCGTGTTCGCGCCCTACGTAGCTTTCGTATCGCGGCCGGCGCGCTCCTCCTTTGCCGCCACCACGGGCGCCCTTCCCGCCACGGGGGTCGCTGCTGCTGCTCGCTCCTCCAGAGCGCCCTCTGCCACCATACCACGAGTCCTGAGATGGCTATATAGGGTTGTGCGTTTATGGGTTTTGGGGTTTGGGGTTCAAGGTTGATATCAGGGTTTATGTATATAGTTTTGGGCTTATAAGGTTTTAGGCTGAAGCTGAAACGTTGCATAAGGTTTTCGCATTATAAGGTCTATATGCAGGATTAGGATAAATATTATATATATATATATATAGTATTTTATAAACAAACCCGAAAACAGTATACGAAGAAAAACCAAGCATCGTCCGTGTCATCATCGCCAGAGCGGCGCCACTGCCCAGGCCCAAGGTCGCGATGGCCGCGCCTGTCGTCTCGGCGATCACGCCCATCACCCCGGCGATCATCGCGCCTGTCGTCTCGGCGATAACGCCCATCATCCCAGCGATCATCGCTCCTGTCCTCTCGCCGGTCCCGGCGCCCTCGGTTGCGACGGTCCTCCCCCTCCTCCTCATCACGGCGACGGCGCGCCCTCTCCTCCTGCGCCTCGCGCCACCAGCGATCTTGCGTGTCGCTCCACTCGCGAAGCCGGTCCGCAAATAGTTGCGCTTCCGCCTCTCGCTGGCGCTGGATGCTCTCACTCAACTCCGCCATCTCCCGTTCAAAGCGTCTGCTGCGCTCCCGGTCTTCTTCCTCCCGCCGGCGTCGGCGCTCCTCGGACTCCGCCCTCCGCTCCGCCCTACGGCGCTCCTTCTTCAGCTTCTTGGCCTTCTCGCCCTCCGAGCTCTGCTCCGCCTCCCGCTTCGCCACCGAAGGCGCTGCACTGTCCTCCGACTCCGTCTCCTTCCTTTCGGCCACCTCGGGCTCCTTAGCCGCGTCGGGCTCCGTCCTCGGACTCGTCGGCTGGTCCTGGCATGCAGGCTTTGCTGGTTTTTTAATAAGATTATATAGGTTTAGGGTTCAAGGCTTCGCGATATTTTGTATTGCGGGCATCGAACCCATATATATATATATATATATATATACATATTAACCCTACATGCTTTAAATTTGTTAGGTGGTTTAGATGGGTAGTTTAAGGTAACCTTATATAATATGTATTTAAAAACCTGAAATGACTTGAGCAGGTTTATAGAAGTGAGCTCTATATTTTGTATGAGGATTTCTAGCTTCAAGTTTCGATATTTATACAGCGATATATATATATATACATACATACTATAGAAAAAACCACCCACCCTGGGCTCCTCGGAAAGTGTCTCGTCCTCCTTCGCCTCTGCGCACTTCTTCCCTTCTTCCTGGCAGCTTGTGCCCTCACTTCCTGGTGGTACTCGCTAATGAAGCGCTCTTCGTTCTCGGTCAAGGTTCGCGTTGCACGCGCCTCCTCAAGGGAGTCCACCATGCCCTTCACGACATTCTTGTCCATGGCTCCGCGAGGCCACGGTCCTATGGGCGTTACAGGTCTTAGAGTGCAGTGAAGTTGCTGCCTAAGGCGTTACATGCTGCATGTTGAAGTGTGTGCGTACAGGCCTCAGAGTGGCCGTTCTATAAGGAGTTACAAGCCTCAGACTGCAGGGACCTGCCAGGTCTGGGACCGAAGTGTTCTAAGTGCAGTAAACTCCCAAGGCGTTACAGTCTTCAGATTGCAGTGAAGCGACTGTTTGAGGTATAACTGCTCCATGCTTGCTGCGCTGCTCTGCATGCTGCTGTGCATGCTGCTGTGCTTGCTGCTGTGCATGCGTGCTGCTGCGTGTGTGAAGGCATGCATGCAACTACGTCAGCTATACCCTCTCTTGACGGAGCGGCGCGGAAGCATGCGTTCTTTCCCGTACTGGCACATGCAGAATGCCCTTCTCCACTTCAGCCTTCAAACATGGAGCCCTTCTCCAATCAAGCTCAATTGAACTTCCACAGGCGTTGTAGCCTCTGGGCTCTATGCAGCTCCACATGAACAATTGAACATTTGCTGCTACCGGCAAGATTTATGCGATTGCGCGGCTTTCAATTGTCTTCCTGCATATATGCATATACATATATATATATATACAATAAAATTCATTTCAAATAAAACCTTAAATCTTCTTCTTTTCCTCTTTGGACGCAGAAGCATCCCGCACAGCTTTCGCGATCCATGCGCTATATACCAAACTGCACAGAAGAACTGTGCATGCATGCATGCCCGCTGGATATCAGCGCTCGTTCCCCTCCGGGGCAGTTCATGGTCCTCCTCCTCATCTTCATTCATCCTCTGCATGTCCTGTCCGCTGTGCCACGCGTGCACTGCCTCCAACGCACTTGGCTCGAGCTGCACCTGCATATATGCACGAACCGTACAACGCCGCCATGGGCACGTGAAACTTGATCTCAACTTTAAATGGAATTGAACAGCCATTGCAATTTTTTGAAAGATGTCCCCGGAGCACACCGGCTCAATGCAAGCTTGGTGTTGCATTGTGCGGTTGTGCTTTGCATGCTTTCGGGGTTTCGAGCCCTTGTCTTGATGCAGGCAGCAAATGGGATGCAATGGTAAAGCGGATTCAGAAACACAATCCCGCCATGTCAAGGGAAAAACTGGTTCCAATCGCACACCAACTTGCCTCTGGGCCTATATCAACCATGAAATATATAGACAGCGTGACCCAGTAAAATGGCAGTAGTGTGTGTCTGATAAGTGGATATGTAATCCCGATTATAACCATTATACGACTTACATTCTTTATGCTTAACCACTTAGATAACCTATCATAACCTCTTGTATAAACTCCTTAAAAATTATAACTTCTATATAATCCCACATAACTTCAATAACCGTTTATCACACTTATAACAGTTTACTACTGGGTTATAATTAGGTTACTACTCGCTTACTACCAGCTTGTCAAACTCTATAATCCTTTTAAATCATTAGCTAAAACCGGGTCCATTAAAGTAACCTACAGGTCATAGGGATTGCCCCGTCAATGTCATGACTGCGTTGCAACGCAGCCCATGGAAGGGCTGGTGCACCTCGTCAAGGACGGCTTGCGGGCTGCAGCATTGCACTGACTGATCGCAACCTTGCAACACAGCTATGAGACGATCTTCATAATGTCAATACGCTTGAGCTGCTTGAAGACTCAGCTCGCAGCAGATGACGCCATCTGCGATGGAAAGCGCATGCACCTTGGGTGCCACATCCAGCTGCCGGCCATTGCTGGCTGTCGTCAGAGGTCCATGTGCGGCCGAAAGGCAGCTTTCCTCCGGGTTTCGCCGACCAGCAACTCAGCCTAGCGAGCGGCTTGCCATACTCCAACCCATTGCGAGTCATCACTGAGGCAAGCGGCGCTGGCAGCATATGCCCCAAAATGGCCACGCCGAAGCGTGCTGTTGCTGTTGATGAGTTGCTCCTTTGCTTTCCACATCTTGACAGATGCCACAAGCTCAGGCCCGACCCGCTGGCTGTGAAGGCGGGACGACACTGGATATATTCTTGTGACTGCACCCGCGAACCGGCTACCACTCTGAATTTGTGCGCGACTGTCTTTAGCGTCATGAATCTCTTCAATGCGCTTTTTTGGCAAAATCGGAGATATACCTTTCTTGGCGAAATATATCATGCGTTTTTTGGCCCGGAACTTTTGGGTGGTTGCTTCCGCCCTTCCTGCTAATGGTCATCTTAATTGACTCGAAGATCCGGAACCTCAACCTCCAACCCCAAACCCTGCTAAACAGCTCTAGGTACTCCCAAACCCCCGTACTACTGCTGGACTACTAGTGTACTACTTCTGTACTCCTAGTGTACTACTACTGCACTACTACTGTACCACTGCTGTACTACGACTGCATGACTACTGTACTACTACTGTACTACTACTGCACTACTACTGTACTGCTACCGTAAGTGTAGGTTGAAGCAAATAATTAACTGGTCTTCGTCTCGGTAATTAAATTATCTTCCTACGTACGGTGGACGACGGATGTGGCTGTGCGTTGGCCAAAGCGAGCAGAATCATCCCGAAAGGCATCGCTGCCCGCGCTCCAATGCAAGCCTCCGAAATCCTTCTCTAGTTCGGCTGTGATTAACTCGACTGCTACGCAGAAGAGCTTCTTTGGACGCGCGCGCCTCTTATGGAATGTGCAGGCATGGCAGGAAAACTGGTAAAGTCTGGGCAGACCAAGCGACCAACAAACGAGTCGCAACAAAGAAGCTGTGTAGTCTCTCTTTGCCGCCTCGTTGCTGCCAGGGCAATCAGCAGCTGGGTAGCCTGTTCGAATCCGGAAAACCGGCCGGAATTAGAATGACCATGAGACCAAACGCGAACTTGCACCATCGTTTCGAAGGGCCAATGATAATTAGCCTTTTTAGCGGGCAAGCTACATTTCGGTTATCACCGGCTCTGGCAGAAGGATGAACCAGGAACTCAACAACCACGCTGCCCGGAGTCACGTCGACCACCTGTGCCCGCGCAACCATCGTCATCTCATTTGAGTGCCATGCCATGGCTCG